AGATAAAATGCTATATAGCACAATAACTCAGTCTATTTTGAGGTCAATTGAAGAGAACCCTTTAAAAAACCTATAAAAACGTTTTGAATTCTTACTTGATAGTTTAACAGTAAACCGTTTAGGTTAAGCAACAATTCACACCATTTATACTGGATTAAAACCTGCCTATTACTAAGATATTTATTGTTTATTAGCACTTATAAAGTATGATCTTCCTCCACATCCTTAATCCTATCCATTCCCTAAAATCTTAATTGGTTGTTAATAGCTTGAATTGTATAAAGCCTGACTTTTTTTTTTTTTTTTTAAAGATGTAGTTTACTAAATCTTTCTTAAAAGTTGTGGTAAGTGGACAAAATTAACAGTAAATGGTCTGAACTGTAGTCTACGCTTCTGCTTCTTCAATTTAAAAAAAGAGGATAATACTAGTTTGAAGGTAAAACTGAGGTAAGTGAATAAAGCAGCTCTTAAGTTTACATGATATTTTAATTTGGAATACAGAGTGCATGTACATGACTTACGTTGTCAACAATTTTTGTGAATGACAGTATTGAACTGTTAAATGAACTGTATTTTACTGTAAGACAGTTATGCAGTATGTTAGTGTATTTAAAGCTGCATTGTGAAAATTACTGTATATTTTACAAAGATGTACAATACTGAAAATACACATAAAGCAAGATAAATGATAAATAGTGCTGTGAATGTAAATACAGTATTTTGCTGTAATTTATTTACAGTAAGTTATTGTAGTTTCTACAGGAAACTGTTAACAGTGTACGTATATGTGTATTTAAAAATTTCTTTCTTTACTTTGACGTAGTTGGCTGTATGGTCAGTTACTAATTTCTACTGCATTTTATGAATCACTGTTTCAGCTAAAATAATATGCTGAACAAGAAAAAATTGTCTCAAATGGTCTGACACCAAAAAGATGTACAACCCATTTTTATATTTGGGCGAACGTTTTGATAGTTAATTTCAATGACACAGACACTGTAAGTTCATTCCTGCAAACAACCTTGTATGAAAAACAAGTAGCATAAAACCATATTCCCAAAAAATCAAGTTAATCAACAGTTTGCATAATGTGAAATCACTTTAATATAGCCAACTTCTCCAAATACATTTCAGTGCACTCATAAAACCTTCATATAACATGCTTTTTTTCTTCAATTGATTTTCTTCATCCAAACAAATGTGACAATAAGACCACTTTGACTGAAATGAAACACATAAAGCATCACAAAGAAACATTACCAACAACATTCCCGTCAAGTTCTCCATCACAAATCATCTCAATTAAAAAGCTAAAGATAAATATCAGTTTCTTCCACTGATTCACACAGAATGGCGTGAAATACTTCATATCAGACTCACATGCAGTAATATAGTATCAGTGGTCCATAATAATTCAGCTCTTGCTCCACTTTGTACTCTCATTTTAGTGTTGACACTATTATGAGTTACGTATCATTGCACACGTGACATTACAGTAGTAGTGTAACTAAAATATGGTACAAAAAGACATTCTTAAAGCGCATAAATAGTAATAGTGTTTCAATGGTAATACACACAAGACAAACTCAAACTTTCATTCGGCCATCTTTAACAATGCATGTTGACTATTGTATCCCAAGACCTGGAGCTTTAAAGGTGAAGTATGTAAAATCCGTCAATCACTTGCAGCTCAACCAATAGCAAAAGTTTGGGGTGTAGCTCCAGCAGCAGGTGGGTTGAGTCAAAATAAAAAGATTTTCTAACAGAAGTTGAAAAATGTAAAAGTCTACCTTAAGTAGAAGAGCCATCACAGTAAAACAAGGATTAAGACAATCTGTGATTTAAAAAAAAATGGATCAATTTGGAATTTTTTGGTTTTACGCCAAATTCACACTGGGCTTTACCGTAAACGCTTGATGGAGAGTGTGTCTGAAATTGGGTCTGATGCAATCGTCAAAGCAGCCAATGAAATAAGTCTGCAATCCGCTATTGCCTGAGTTGGGGTATTTGCATAGAGCCATCTGATTGGCTGATGCTTCCATTGGCACTTGAAAAGTTAAAAAAAAGTCCCCAACTTCTGCAGCGAGCGGCGCTGACGGATCCCACAATTCAGTTCAGCAACACTTGACGTCACCCACTCAAAGTGAATGAAAAACGTTGACGCAGACAGCCTGTGTAAATGGGCTGCTAGTCCCCATGAACTGGGAGCAGCGTCTATAATTTTTTTTTCATATTGTGACGCAGTTCCTAGAGAAACAAAATATTAAATAAGAAAACAGTGGGTGTGGCTTGTTTTTTTCTATTGAGAGCTGATTGGATGATGTAAAGTAGGCATTTCATTCAGAAAGATAGAGAAAAGGGTTTGAGGAGAGTAATTAAACCTAACAGACACCTCCTGCTCACCATTTCTGTTGTCTGTTAAACATGTTAGCCATGTTCAATTCCTAAGATATACGTAATCTGACAATTTAACTGAAAAAAAAAATCAATCAACGAAAGATTAGAAGGGCAAACCTTTTTTTTTAAAAAGACATGCACAGATAATCTGTTCACCACAAGACTGACAATATGAGCTAACAAAAACAACATGGTTAGTTTTGATTTCCTGGGGACTTTAATCGAGACTTTTGCAACGTTAGCCTAAAAAAAACTTTAAAATATTAAACACACAAGAATAATCTTACAAATGTATGTCTTTTGCAAAAGGTGAGTGTAATAGGTGTTTGGAAATGATGAAAATAGGCTTTATTTTTGCCACTATTAGTGTAGAATCTACATACTTCACCTTTAAAAGCAACCCAAGCTATTAAGACTTGTATGGCTCAAAGAAACACTCCAATATGTATTATTTTGACTCATCTCACAACACTTCTAAATTTAAACAGCTGAGTTTTACATTTTTTACTCCATTCAGCCGATCTCCAGGTTTTAGCTTAGGTTAGCATAAGCCATTGAATTGGATTAGACCATTAGCATCTTGCTAAAAAAAATGTTTTGATCATTTTCCAGTGTCCTTGAGAGTTTAGCTCCAACCAAACACACCTAAAGCAGATGATCAAGCTCTTATTAGATATACTAGAAGCTTCCTGGCAGGTGTGTTGAAGCAGGTTGGAGATAGACTCTCCAGGACACCGGCCCTCCAGGACTGAGTTTGGACACCCCTGCTTTAAGATAATCAGCTAATGTTTACATTTGCAACAATGCAACAAAGTAAAAAACACCTCATGTGGATTTTTACAACTATGAATCTGCATTTCATTTTGGAGGCTGCTGTCCTCCGTTTTCAGCTGTACAGTATATTGAGAAAACCTTCATGAATGAAATGCAGTTGCTGAAATATAACTGGGTAAAGTGGTAGTGGGCGAAGATACAGTACACAGACCAAAACAAAGACAGACGTTCTGACACTTACAAAGGAGAATAACTGACTTTAGCACTGTTTACCAGGTAAACAAGCATGTTAGCATAGCATGTTTCTTAAGTATCTGCAAACATATTATGGTATTTCTATGATTTAAAAGATTGAAAAACTCACATACAGCCCTTTTTAGTGTAGAGTTTTCTCCAGTTATGGCTGATGCAGCAACACACAGATGTTGACAAGTTGTTTAGCGGTTAGCATTTGTTGTCTCTGCAGTTTCACAGTGCAGATTTCACTCAATATCTAGGGGTGTTTAGACTCCATGTGGGGAAAAAAATCAATGGTATTTAAGACTTACATTTTCAGCTCTTGTTGCCCTTTGAGTGAAACTTACAGCCAAAAGCCACTCGATGCAGCATTATACAGATGCAACTGTTTACCATCAAGCACTGCACATTGTAACGGCAGCTCCCATAATCCAGAATGAATGTGAAGTTTTAAAGTAAATGTAAATCAAAGGTATTCTAATACACATTTAAGACATTATTTACATCATATTGAGCTATACAAGTCTTAATATGAGGGGCTGTATAAGTTCCAAATGACATCTCAGTACATCAAATGCAGCATGGAAATATATAAATAATGGGAGCGTAAGTAGCGCCATTAAATGCAACCGAACATCCCAAAATCTTTCCAGAGGAGCCATTGTGTTGGATAAAGAGCAGGTCTGAGAGAGTGTCATGGGAGTCGGACTGTCTACACAAACAAGAGGACAAGGATGGAGATTAGTGTTGAGTTATAGCATTTCTGGAGTCTTCTGCATACTTTCATGTTGACTGAGCCTCATTACAGACATTCCTCTAACCATCATCACCTTGACCGTTAGCACTTACAAAAGATTCAAAACGTTTTTTTTTGTTTGTTTGTTTTTTGGTGAAAATTAATGTAGAGATCACTTAGGGTAAAAACAAAAATGGAAGCAGTATATACTGGTGGACTTGCTCATACTGATTATTCCATTCAGCATAAGCTCATAAAACAACACATGTAGTGAAATATAAAAGTCCTGATGTTAAAATTGATATGTATCAAAGAAAAGACAAGCGTAAGACATGAAATGCTGCCCACTTATGACACTGCTAAGACAGCTTTGGAGGTATTGTAGTAACACTGCAAGCTTATAGAGAGTCTACCTTCAAAGGGAAAGTTCACCCAAAAATGGAAATTTGCTGTTGATTTATTTACTTGATGACTTGTTTATTTATGTATTTTTCAGATCAAAGATGACATGGCCCTTTTTGCCTTTTTGAAATGAAAACAATCATGGCTGCATACTGAAGTGTAGTTCCAAATTGAGGTACTCAAAACTGACCACTTTGAAGGGTTTTTGTAATAAAGGTTTTCAAACAGCCGATTCGAATGTTATCACTTGATTCAACGGGCGCTGTCAGTAGTTATCAGCTGAAAGATATTGGCCAGTAGGGGCCTTCTGCACCTAATAGTAAGCTTAGAAGGCTGTTATCATCCATCCACATGGTTAATCAGCTATAGATCACATACGGGTGCGGCCGGAAGTTAACGAGAATTGTTTATATTATTTCTTAAATTTCCCATTAATTGTACTTTATTAACGTCTACCCCAACCCTAAACCCAACCGTCACATTAATGTAAAAACACATCTGGATCTGGAGTCTTCTCTATTAGTATAGCTCATTAACCATGTGGCTGGATGATAACAGCCTTCTGAGCCTACTAGGATCTTTTGTGCAGGTAAGTCACACACTGTGTCCCATTTGGAAGGGCTCATCTCTATGTACTAACTACTCAATGCTTTCACCCTAGAGGTAAACTCTTTGAAGAGACTATGGCATAGGGATGAGCCCTTTCTAATAGACCTCAAAAGAGAAGAGAAGAGATCAAACTCTATATGCTTGAAGTGGAATGCCGTCAAATGTTGGTGCACCACCCAGATGGTCATCAGTGCCGACAATTAAATTCTTTTTTGAGGAATATTAAAGAATATTTTTAGTCAATGGCTACTGGCACTATGCAAGTTTTGCTTCAGAAGATTGCAATGTAGCATCCTGAGCCACATTCATGTTCTTTTGCCTAATTATGTTTTTTTACTTTTAATGTGGCAATTGTGTAAGTTTGCATGTTCTCCCCGTGTTGGCATGGGTTTCCTCCGGGTGCTTCGGCTTCCCCCACAGTCCAAAGACATGTACTATAGGTGAATTTGATTAACTAAATTAGCCTTAGTAAATGAGCACATGTGTGAATGCGAGTGTATGGGTGTTTCCCAATACTGGGTTGCGGTTGGAATGGCATGCTGATGAATAAGTGACAAAGCCGAAGAAAAATGAATGAATGGCAATTGTATTTTATGAATTACCAAGGATCACGAAATCTGTTCTATGAATGTTCTATTAAGAAAAAAGTCACCAAGATCTTGGATGATCTGACACTAAGTAAATTAACAGCATTTTTTAGGTGAACTATGCCTTTAGGTTTTCTTGTCTAATTTTCCAGCAAAATACCAAAACAGATATTTCAAATAAGATAAATGTTCATACTTTTTATATACAAAATGCGCAACACTGCATAATTAGGACTTGTTAAAAAAAAGGTTTGGAGTTTTAAAAATTTAAGAAGCCATTATTTGATCAAATGTCTTATTGTGAAATATTTACTTTTTGATATCAAGAATAATCAAAAACATTATTTAAAACCTTACTACAAGAATATTTCAATCTTAAATAAGAAGATACTTCAGAAATCACGATAATCAGGGTGATTTGATGCTCAGTAAAAATGGTTTACTATTGTCAAGGCTTAAAAGACTTACACTTTTTGTAAAAACAGTGATTGTTTCTGGGTTATTTGATGACTAGTAAAGTCAAAAACAATCAATAGTTAAGGCCCGTGCACACAGAGACGTTTTTGCTCAAGTTTTTCGTCGACGTTTAACGCCTAGTGACTAAATAAAGGGCGTCAATGTGATCATGCACACTTATGCGCAAAATGCCAGAGGTAAAGGCGTCATTTAAAAAAAAAAAAAACGCCTCATGCTAGTTTTTTGTTTTTTGTTTTGACACGTTAAAACTTTCTCCACCTATCTGGTTGGGATTTTTGTTCACAGGCACGGAGCTGCTGAAGTTACAGTAAACAGCACTTTGAGGCGCTCAAGTGCAAAACTGTCAATGTGAGCACACATTGAAGAGGATGCCCAGAGGCGATATGAGTGTGGAGCTGCTTAATGCTCAGGTGAACAACAATCATTTCTTCATCGCTAGAGCTACTACATGAACCATCCATAACAACAAGCATGTCAACTTTGTCTTCTTCTTCTGTGTTACAAGCGGGTGTCAGAAGCTTAAAGTTGTGTAGCGCCGTCTAACGTCAAGGAGGGATTTTGCATACTCTTCTGCTCGACACTAGTGAAAATCACTTTGGTTTGAATCCGGAAAAACGTCTTAAAAACCGCTGACGATAAACGCAAATGAAAAGCATCCCAGTGTGTACGAGCTTTTATATGAGAGAAATCTTTTGTAACATTAATAATCTCTTATTACAGCATTACTATTAAACAAATCATGAGAACAAGTCATAAGAGCGTATGCAGTGTTGCATCTCAAAAAAATTCATCTGGAAAATTCTACTGGAAAAAAAGTCAACAAATACTAAGCTAAAACCATCTTGCAGTGTATTGACTTTGGTTTCTGTTAACTTGTGTTTTTTAGAGTACAGGTCCACAAATACTTTAAAATACAATCTTTTGAAAGATATTATGTTACTATGATTAAAAAACAATAGTGATTTTTATCATTTGAATAATTATATCTATGAAATGACTAAGTACAATCAGCGATACTTTGCTATAAAGGCAAAATCTGAAATGCTAAAATGAAAGCAGTTTAAATGGTGGGATTCCTGGAAAACCTTATTCAAATGACAGCAGGTCAGGATGTGGTTCTTCGTTGTCCAGGTTGAGGGTTCGATAATCCACAGTGCCATTCTCCATTAATTCCCCTTCAGTGACGCTGATCCGGCAGCCGCCTTTCCCTGGACACGGAGTGGAAGCCATTCTGGTTTCTGAATTGGCCAGTTTCTTTGGGTCCAGATTGTCTTTGTGAATGAGATCTGGAACTGAGAGAAGCATCTGCGACTGATCCACATCCTCTGAATTTCTCTCATCCATCACCGCAGATGTGGGCTTGCTATTCAGTTCTACGCTGGGCTTCTTCTCCATCTGACTGTCGACGTCTGCTTCTGGAGGTTTCTCGATGTTGGACTCTTCAGGCTGGAACTCGGCTTTCTCTTTGGAGGTTTTGTCAGGCGAAGAGACGAAGGAGGATTCTGGGGAGGCCACGACAGGGTCGGAGGAGATCATCATGTCCTGGGTGGTCTTCAGGGCACGTGGAAGACGCTTCTTGCCAGTGGGTGGAGGAGGATCCAGACGAGGGAAAGAGTCCAGGGAAACGTGACTGTGGTGGAGAGAAAAAAGCATTGTGAGAGCTCATACATTAATTTTTCAGTTCTCTCACTCAAACGTGGGCCAAAATAATGAAGTTTATATTTTTCTTTACAGATTCTCATTGTCATATTTCAGACCTTTAGGAGGATAGTTCACTTAAGGACGTACTCCCAGAATGCTATCCAAAGCAATAGGAGTGCCCTAAATTGGGCTCAGGCAAGGTTCACTTGGCCGGCCCTGGCCAGGTTGGAAGAGGTTTGCCAGAGCGCGGTTCACTTGGGCTTTGGTGCGGTACACTTGTAGTGTGAGTGCGAAGTGCGCCTAAGCCCGAAACTGAAGACGAGACGAGGTGTGACTTTTACGGGACTGTTTTATATGGATTAATTAATCATTCTTACAGTTCAATGAACGCAAACTGTCGTAGTTTATTAAAGACGCAAACCCCTTACTGCATGACAGCTACACCCTTAGCAAACCTCCTAATTCCTGCAGCACGAGGACTTTATGATTGTTTATGACCGTCAAAAGTGGCTGATCTGGTGAAATATTTGACTGTGTCACTGCTTCTCAAACGACTAAAATGATGTAACTAAAGAAATGTCCACTGTGCTGAATGAAAGCGCTTACTGAACAGTGCATCATCGATGACGTAAGCATGCTCAGGCCCGAATGTAATGTGAGTGCAGGCCTTTGAGGGAGATTAGAGAGGGTTTATTTAGGTACATTTAAAAGCATATATTGAGCCTGTGGGGTGAGGAGGAACGTTAACAGGACAGCAGTGCTATTGTTGAAATTTGAGAAGGATAAAAATAATATTCAAAATAATAACGCTGCATTTTGTCAATTCATTTATAATAACCAAACATGCATGTTTATTACCTTTTTAATACATTAAATAAATTAAAAAAGGCAAAAATATGATAAGACTAAAAAAATACGTAAAATAAATATTGATAATTGTATTTTCGTTGTTATACATAAAATACAAATGTTCCTCATATTTGCACTTACCGTGTTAATAATTATTTAGGATTTAAAAATTTGACAGAAAAGTAGTTTACATTGCCACACAAGTTGCATTAACAAAATTTGCATGCACTCCTTTCACTTTTCCATTCTTTTAAAAAAAAATTATTTCTACTTGAGCACAAAATCAGCATCTTAGAATAATGTGATAACAAAGACTGAACTAATAGTCATTAATGTAATGTGTGTTTTTATCTAGCACATTTATTGTGTATGGCCATACACCGAAACTCTCCACACCACCATCATCGTGGAGCATCGACTTGGATGATGTGACAGCAGCCACAGGACAACAGCGCCAATGCGCTCACCATACACCAGCTATTGGTGTAGTGGAGAGAAAGTGATAGAGCTAGTTTGGTGGATGGGGATGATTGGGAGGCCATGATGGGATTTGGCAGGACACTGAGGTTACACCCCTACTCTTTTACAAGAAGTGCCATGGGATTTTTAATGAGTCAGGACCTCTGTTGAACGTCTCATCTGAAAGACGGCACTCATTGACAGTATTCCTTTCACTACACTGGGGCATTAGGGCTCACACAGGCTGCAGGTTGAGCACCCCCTGCTTGCCTCACAAACACCACTTCCAAACGCAACCTGACCAAGCACAATTGACTCAGTGAGTAACTGATCTTGGGCTGGAGGGTGATATGGCACGTGACATTAAAATGTTTACATAGTTAACATAATTAAACAAGAAAACAAAAAGAGACATGATTGTTTTTGCTCTTATAATAGCATAGACCACTATAGCATAGACTCATTATACATAGAAAATATGTCAAAAATCTATCAAAAACATGATTAATTATATAATATATGTTAAATTATATAATATGTTACAGTCATTAAGAAACAAAACAAAACAAAAAAACACTTAAACCCAAATTTGAACCAGCCCATATCTGCTATCTCAGAAGTCAGAATTTGAACATTTCAATCATGAAACTTTTTTTTTAATTAATGACTGAAATTTCCATCTTTCTTGTAAAACTGTAATTTAGAAAATCCATGAATAAAAAAAACAATATTAATATTTAAACAGTACTGTTAATAAAGAGCTTACTCATCTTAAGTAGATTAAATATTACAGAAACAAATGGAAATGAAGAGCCGCTGTATCTCAACCATTAATTTGGATGGTGGTCAAATGACATCAAATTCACCATGACTTTTCAAGTCACATGAGATGCTCACACTCAATTAACAACAAAATTCTTGCACGTGTAATAATTTTAATAAATTTTTAATAAATCTCCTAAGCCGACAGCACAATTCCCTTAATAATGTCACATCTCTGTGCTTTAATAACCTCACTCTAGAAGATAAGAAGTTGGTTTCTTGTAAATGCCTCGTTTCATTTATTATTTTATGATAGAGGAATTTGCACTTGCTCTGCTGAAGATATGAAAGCTGATGAGAGTTATAAAGTCTATATGATATTCTATTATCATTTTAAACATATTAGAAAAATAAAATAACACGCCTCTCCTCAACAAGCTGCTTATTCATATTTGGGTAATATTAGGTAACCTTTCATTTACATTTTACACTTTAGCAGATGCTGGCGACCCCTGATGAATAAAGGGACTAAGTTGAAGAAAAATGAATTCATGAGTTTAGCAGATGTTTTTGTCCAAAGTGACTTACCACTGAGGAGGCAAATAGCGAATATACACTCAAGTGCTAAAATATAGAAATTAACTGTGTGTGCACTTAGATAATTAAGGGACAGAGTAAAAAAAAAAAAAAAAAAAAAAAAAAAAAAAAAAAAATATATATATATATATATATATATATATATATATATATATATATATATATAATTTTTTTTTACATGTACTATTCCAATTATGAGTTATAACAACATTTTACTATGACTATCTTACAATGCACTACCAATTACATAAAAAACTCAACTCTTTTCCATACAGCCTAATAAAAATGCTGGAAATAATTGTGTAAACGAGATGTTACGCAACTGGTAAGATTCCAAGCAATTAAACCAAGCCGTCGTCTCAAGTCAAAGTTTGAATGACGCAACACAAGCACATGGACTGACAGAGACAGACACGCTCAGTTTCTTGAAGGCAGATGATCATAATGATGGCGGATGCAGTTGCTGTGAACGGCCACATGAAAAGCCCTGTTTCATCTCAGAGAGACGTCTGTCAACTCTCTGCTGTAACTCCATCACAACTGAGTTCAAACACAATTCTCCTGTTTTCACTTGTAAAAGAGATGTGAACTGCCACAGAAAAATGGCATTGGTCATTTGCCACATTCAAAGTCATTTATTACTCTATTGATGATATGTGTATAAATGGACTATCAGTAAAAACAGTATTGATGCATGCACACAGGCTCGTTATACTGTAATAAACACTTATAATATGGCACGAGGTGTGACTCTGTACACTAGCTTAACAGAGTACAACTAGGTCATACCCAAGTCATTATATAACTTTGTGTCCTTGTAAACCACATCCCTGTACACACACATACACAAACACAGAGTAAAAACATTGAATATTATTCTGAAAGGTTTTCTATCTCAATTTATATCAGTCAAGCTGACTAAAACGTTAGGGTAAACTTTGTAGAACTAAATAAAATGAACTGAAACCTGAATAACTGATCAAAACATTTTTGTCATCATTTATTTACACTCTCTCACTTCTGTGAGTCATTAAGAACAATTATATAATTTTTTTGTCCCACATTATATTAAGTGGCCTATGTCCTTAAATCAAAATATGAACAGAATGTACCTAATTATGGTGTCACAGTGGTGCAATGGGTAGCACCATCGCCTCACAGCAAGAAGGTCGTTGGTTCGAGCCCAGGTGGGTCAGTTGGCATTTCTGTGTGAAGTACGCATGTTCTCCCCATGTCTTTTAGGAGCAGGTTAGGTGGTATGGCTAGGTTTAAGTGTGGGTTAAGGTGTAAGGGATGGTCAACAGTGTAATTATAAACATATTTACTGAAATTAATTACAGATGAAATTACATGCAGATATTTAATCAAGCATAAGTATAATGTAAAAACATATTTTACACACCAAGTACATTATAACTGGTAACTTAGAACATATTAGTTAAGGCTACTTAATATAAAGTGGGACCAATTCTTTTTATTATTTACATGATGTTTTAGTTACTGTCCAAGATATTAGTATTCCGGCAAAAGTGCCATTTAAAGGCTTAACTATATTAATTAATTTAACTAGACAAGTTAGGTTAATTAGACAAGTCATTGGACAACAGTGGTTTGAAAAAGGGGGCTAATAATACGGACCTCTGCAGATTAGGGATGCTACAATCTGGATTTTTGCAGTCACTAATGATCGAACAATATCGAGAACTGATTCTAATGCTTCATACTTAATAATGCATAAAGCACATTCTCCCTCTAAGTATGAACCTGAAGAAAATATCTTGCCTTACCTAAGAGAATAAATCAAGGATGCTGCATAGAATACCTTAAACATGTCTCTTATAACCATTTAGATGTGAACATGTCATGGCCAGAAGCAGCTATTCAGAAAATAATTCATACACTCATTTTACTTAAGCTTATTTATCAGGGGTCGCCACAGCAGAATGAAACGCCACAGAAAATAAAATAACACAGATATAAAAATTGTTAAGAAAAATGACAAACAATGCAATTTGAAAACAAAAAGTGCAAATGATGAAAGAAAAATTCAACATGTCCCAGTCAAGTAAAAGTTTGGAGCGCATGTTTGATGTATAAGAAGTTCAAATTCACACCTATAAATCCATCACTTCTTTACTAAAAGGAAATGGGCCCATAAACTACTGTTTATTGCAATACATATGTTACAAGAAGTTTTATTATTAAATATTCATGTTAAAAATATTTATTTTAAAGTATTATTATCTAAAAAATTTCAGCCAGCTTTTAGTGTACTTAAAATATTGTCAAAAACACAGATCTTTCAGCTGTTATATGCAAAAAAGACTAAATAAATACAAGATCATTCAAATATTTTGCTCATCATTATGGAGCTAATAATATGCCAAAACAATCTGAATTTGAATTGTGTTCATTTGAATAATTGATAATTGTATTTTAATAAATCTGAATTTTTATATGCCGTTAAAAATTGTTTTGAATTTGAATTTCTTATTTTAAACTTTAATTTCTTAATTTAAATTTTCATAACTTGAATATTAAACCTTTTAACATCATCTACTCTTGCCTATTGATCACCCCTGACCTAGTTTCTGCGGAATCAGAATTTCACAATCTGAATTTCTGGTTTTGAATTTTAGGATATTGAATTTGATGAACACTTGAAACTGTATTTTTACAAACTGTATATCTGCAGTCTATGAATTCAGAACACAAAAAATCTGAAGTTTAAAAATACAGCCTTAAAAAATGTAGTTGTCTAAAATTTCATATGTTCAATATTTAAGTTATGAAAATCAAAATTCAAATTAAGAAATTCTGGGCTGCACTATTCATTTACCCTAAGAAACGTAATGCTTAGACCATCAGTGTGCCTCTCGCAATCTGTTCTTTTGCTCATTCATTCTGGTGGCCATGATTTCCGAGTATTTAAACAAATTTTTGGGGATCACGGAACAGGTATGAATATGCGGGAGACTTGCGGAGCTTCCGGGAGGAGGGTTGGATGAGACACTAGATAGGGGCGATTGGTCCACTCATGTCACAACATCTCAAAACACTGGATATGCATTGGCTGCACTTACAACAAGGCCATCACTCACATGAGTCATGCCAATAGACTGTATAGACAGGTCGCACCACATCTGTATATATTTTAGCTGTTGTGATGCGAGCGCATCGATCGCTCACACCCCCATGCATCATTCACCTCCGTACGTATTGTGGATGCTGTAGGCTATGTATAGGAGAGTGCACGTGCGTCTTCCTTTGCTTGTAAACTCAAACAAACACCTGCGATCGGGTTATGAGATCGGCCAGATTGGCGAGTACCGATCAAATGATGAAGTGTGGTTATCGGCCCATACTGATCTCCTACTGCAGATTTTACATTTATTAAATATTATTCTTATTCCAGCCAAACTAAAAAGAAAGACTTTAAATAGAAGGACGATATCCTTGCACATTTCTTATGTAGTTATTTTTCCTCCTTAAGATGCCTTCATCAAGCAGCGCTATGTTTAGGGGAACATTTTCTTTTCTTTCCTGTTCATCTGACATTTATCAGTCAGGACACTGAAGAGGGTCTATCAGGCCGGGCTATGACGCAGTAAAGCCTTAAATTAGTCTCTGTAAAAGCACTGCAGGCCTCACATGTCAAGACCAAGTATAGCACAACTGACAACTTCCTAGCAATTTTACTCTTAGCGTGAAGTCAATAGAGTATAATGAGCGTTTTGAGGTCACTGGCGCTGTGAAAGTCTGTACCTGTTTCTGGCTGTGCCGTGGCTCATGTCAACCAGGCTGGCCCACACCGGCTCCACGTTCTTATTCACCTCCGTCACCCCAATGTCTCCGAGGCTGCTGGGATCTTTCCGGCGGAGAAGGTCGTTCACCTTCGCACCCATGGCTTTGCCCAAGTTGAAGGCATTTTTGAGGTGTTGACTGCCTCCTGTCTTTGATCCAGACAAAGCTGAAGAGTCTGATGGACGAAAACTCTTCGGCTGATCTGCAGCGTTGCAGTTCTCAAACATGCTTTGGTCCACTAAAATAAAGGAAGAAAGAAAAGAACAAAAAGCATTTCAGACAAAGAGATGTGCATGTATTTTCATTAAAACAATTATATCACAAAAGCATTTAAAGGAACACTATATTTTGAAAATAATTTTAAAACACTTTACCGAGAGGTTTACCATTTTTGAATCCATTTAGATGATTTTTTGGCCTGGCGGGAGTACTTTTAGCAGGCTTAGCATAGATCATTGAATCATATCATAGATATTTACATTAGATGTTGTCTATGTCTATTGGAAGGAATGCATCAATAGAGCTGCCTTAAAATTAATGTGGGACTAAGATGCTGTGGAGGACTGGACACCTTTCCTCCATCCTAGGCCACAATTTTGTATATATCTATGATTGGGAGTTTTCCCAGTGGTCAGTATCACTTTTCTACATGGATGGATCAGTGACCGCATGGGCATTACTGACAAAGAGCATGTGTTGTGTGCATGTATGTATGTATTATCCTTCCTCCCTATTAAATTTGTTCTAATCCATGTCCAGAAACACACCCCCTCTCCTGCTTTCACTTCTAATGCTAACGAAGGGAGTGATTCGTTTGTGAATGAATCTCCATTATGAACGAATCATAATGGAGATAGCCTGCATCTCAATGTGAATATCCACAGTGTTTATCTAAATGGTATTTAACATTTGTAATATTCAATAAATAAGGGTAGAAAATGCACATTGAGACGCAGACACTGGTATGTTATCAGGCACCCTAATAAGTTACTTCGAAACTAGCCGTTACTTCAGCTAGCTGACAATAATACAAGTTTCTAGCAGCGCAGCATCTTAATGTCTTATTTCATTTACATTGTTTGATTATTTTGTTCAACAAAACTAGCATAAGCCTAGTATTTAGTGTAAGTTGGTTCTACTTTGCCTTATGGTCAGTAAAGTAAGTGACTGCATTTTCATCAATAACATTACTTGTTGAGCACAAAAATTCGTAACTATGAAAAGTTCTGCTTTTATGATTTGCTTTCTTTGTTTGCTCTTAACTACACCTGTACGCAGCACTAAAAGATCTTCACATTGGCTTTAATCTTGACTAGTGCGATTGAATGACATTTGGCCTGGGAGCACTGTACAAATGTGGAAGCGGTATTAACATATGCTCAGGGTCTGTATGTGATATCTAGTGTATACATCTATGGAATCAAAAAACATTTGCAACTTGAAAAAGACCAAATTAATTTAATCATTTTCCTATTTAAAGCTCGACCCTTCTGTAGTTACATTGTGTACTAAGTTCGACAGAAGATGAAAAGTTGCAATTTTTCTAGGCTGATATGACTAGGAATAATGATGAAAATCTATGTTGAGCTACTGTAAGCCAAAGGTGTTCTCTCCTGACTCTAAAATCGGCTGTGTGGATTCAAAAATGGTACAACTCAACTCTTTAACTCTAGGTCTAGGACATCTGTAAAATGAGGCTGCTTTCAAAATAAGAGAAGTTCCTTTAAAAGCAAATAGCTTTTGTATAGGATTTAATGCTTGAGCATTTACAAGTAGAAGAACACTTGGTCTCATTCACTAATTATGTGGATTATTTCAAAGGCATGGACAAATCTCTCATTAAAAAAACTCTTTTCCTGATACACAACATTATAATTATGTTTTTAAGCTCATCTAATATTCTCATATTAAAGAATTGAGTGCTCAAGGTTAATCATTTGCATAAATACACACATTTACTGCATAAATGTAGCAAGGAATTGTATTACAGACAGTTTGAATATACTAATTTGACTAAAGACTGAATTGTTTTATATAAATGATTTGTACAGCTTAATGGTTGAATAACTAGAATTAACAGTAGTATTTTCTGTGATTCTGAAAAAAAAACTATATATATTTGCCAATAGTCTCAGAAAAACTAACATGATTATTTTTATTAACAGACAATGTGTTTTAAGATTAATTCATTTTTCCCAGAAAACAAGACTCTGTATATTACATCTCCATTGAACTTACGCTGATTTAAAGATATTTTAATTGGAAAACAAATAATGAGGGATTATTTTGCATTTCTACTGCAGGCACATTGATTTAAGTTTTTGTCATAATTTCTTTGTGAAAATGAAGATCTTTGTATACACATGTTTTCTAAATGAGACCAAGTGCGTGTTCAACTAATTTGTTTCACATTTGTCAAATCTTGTAATGGTTAATGTCTTCTAAGATAGCATCAATATCAATTTATCTAGTATTTAATATAAGTAAATTCAAAATAAAACATTTACAATAAAACAAGGCATTATTTAATATATGATGAATAATTCAAACTCACTTTGATTGGCTAAATATGACTTAAAAAGTATGATAAATGAGCACCTGTTAACAACAATGGCAGAGCTTCCCACACATATACTTTACCTACGTAGGTGGGCCGCCCTGGTATATTCACGGCCACCCAAGTATATTAGTGATGCATTTTATTTATATTATTAACATCCTTTTAGACTTTTTTTGTATACGCTCAATATAAACAAACATCCGCGATCGATTAAGTAGTAGAAAATCTTCTCTCGTTTAGCAGTTTCGTTCTGTGCCTGCAAAACTTGTCAACAATCGTGCAGACATTATCATGTGCTCTTTAGACCCACAGAGACGCACAGTTTTGGAACTTCGTTTGGGTTTCTAAATCTCCTAAAATGTCTGGAATTCAACTTTCGCTTTTGCTTGCTAAAGCTTGTATGTGGTTTTGCATTACTCTTTTATTAAAGACTACTTTCTGGCTGGTTTCACAGCTGTCTGCGCACACACAGCTGCGATACTGAGAGAAAAAGTAAATTATAGATGCGTTAACCTAAACGACTCAGAGAAACTTTACTTTATGCTTGGAGAAGCCAAAATGGCACTTAAACTGGCTGCAAAATACAGTATGTACACCATTAGTAATGGTTGGCTAATCAACACATTTGCCTTATTTAAAAAAAAAAATAATGATAAAAAAGATGTCAGATAGAACTATATAATTCTAAGGTGTTTGCATATTTAAAATGCATTCCAGTTTGCTTTGAGCTTGAAAAGGGGGTGCATCATCAGTGGGTGCAAATGGCTCCTGAATAGCATACAATTATTTCTGTTTTATTTCAGTCTTTAAGTCTTTTTTTTTTTTTTTGATGTTTTGTTTGTCGCATATAGTTAACTATCTATGTGATGTGGGTAAATAGTGTTTCAATTCAACGCAAGTATATTTCAAATCTGTGGGAAGCACTGAATGGTAATATAAACGTAAAACATGCACAACTTATATACACCCAAAAGATCCTGATAAATAAAAATAATAAATACATTAAAGAGTTTTACAAGTCACTAAAATAAAAAATTGAGGCAATATATCCAACCTATCATGCAGTGGAATATAAATAAAATAACATATTCAAATTTCCAAATATATTTATATATATATAATGGACACAAATTCATGCAAACAACAAGCAAACACCATCACAATGACACCCATTAAAAATAATAATAATAATAAAAGTCTATAAGGGAAAAAAGTTCACAACAGCTCAAATTTCTTACCTCAAAACCATTATTTCATGGGTAGCATTTCAATGACAAAGAGAGCAAAATTTATCCACACAGATATATTCCCCCCAAAATGTATAGAAATACTTCAAACATGCATTTTATCTAAAATCCGACTGACTGACAAATCACGACATGGGGAAAAAAAGAAAAGTTTACCTTGAAAGTCACCAAGGAAAGGAAGATCGACATTGATAAAGACAGAAAGATAGAAACACCAATTCACCAACAAAAGTAACTCTGACATTCTGTTCTGTTTAAAACTCAACTGCAATTTAGGCATTCTTTCAAAGCTGTTTACAATAAAAGCTCAATATTAGGCTGACTCTAATTAAATGTGATTTCAAGCAACTCCTGATGGCATTTGATGTGGCATAGTTATTTCCAGCTTGTTAAACTCCAACAGTTTCCAACACTTGCTTATGGAGCAGTACGATTTCTCATTAGGCGGTGACAGTTTCTCTCTCTGACAACAAACACGGGCCACATCCGAGACCAGAGAGGCACAAATATTTGACAAAGGAAGTTATTTTGATGCCTGACGATGTCTTGGCTCTGCAGGCAATGCAAACAGATGAATGGCGGCAATCTGCACGCCAAAAAAACAGCATGTTGCTCATCATGGTAATCAGAAAGAGGAACAGAAATAAAAAATAAAAACCCACAACTTACCATTCATGATGGATTTCCCAAAGACCTGCTTAAATTATTCACACGGTTGATCTTTAAAACATGCGTCATCATTCTATATGACGCTTAAACAAGCACAGCATGCTGTTATAATGAGTTTTGAACAACACATAAAAGTAGACTGGTGAAAAGTTTCATGCCTTCAAACCAAGACTATTATTTTTTTGCCCTCTGTGTTCAAACCAAACACAAAAGGAACATGTGTATCATACCACTCTCTCTACTATACCCGTGGGATATATTTCACCGTTTTTAATTTTTTTTTTACTTAAAAAATGTGACTGAGGCAAGTTCTGCACATTTGTGGCAAATGTGTTTTGCATAACGCATAATTTGCACGACCTGTAAGTAATTTACCAGCACAAATGCTTAAATTCCACTAGGTGACAATCCAGTAATACACCATTAATATAATAATTAATAATTTTAGCAAATCTAAAAATCTCTCTAAGAGTCTTTGCACACAGAGGGCTCTATTTTGACGGTCCAGGCGCAGAGCACAAAACGCAGGGCGCAATCGCTTTCAGAATGCATTTTTGCTCATTTAAGGACTGGAAAATCCGCTTTGCGCCATGGCGCATGGTCTAAAAGGGTTGAGTTTATTTTCTTAATGAGTTATAGGTGTGTTTTGAGAATAAACCAATTAGAGTCTCATCTCCCATTCCCTTTAAGAGCCAGCTGCGTCGCGCCAAGAGTGCATTCGCTATTTACAAAGTAAGTCTAAGTGGAAAAAATGAGCATTTCACAAGCAAACAGTTAACAGTTTTTTAACAGAAAACTGTTAAACAGAGCATCTACTGTGTAAGAATGAGAGATAATGGATCTACTTTCACTTTCGCTCTCGTGGATAGGGAAACTTTTACGCACAGACATTAATTAGTCTATAAATAAATGATTTTGTTTGTTAAGCGCAAATATTCGTTTCAAAACTATTTCTAAATTCAGTTAAAATTTCCAGCAAACGAATAAATGAATAATAATAACAAAATGTGCTCAAAAACCTGAGTTATATCCTAAAACATATGCTGTGCCCCATATGGTCTAAAACCTGACAGGTGGGCAAATCTAAGCTTGTTTTTAATAAAACAAATATAAATATGGATATAATAAACAATACTGCTGATAATAATAACATTATACAAAAGCAAATTGTTATGAATGAACTGAAAAAGCCTCCTGAGATGAAGAAGACATGAAAGCAGTGGTTTTTCATATGTAGGCTAGAAAATAATATGTTTTATAATATTTTAATCCTTTATATTTATATTCTATATCTATTTTTATTATATCCTATATATATCCTTAATATTTAAATTTTTTCATATGTAAAGATATTTGCCTATTGCTCTCTTGTGCGTATTAAGCAGTGCGTAAGCGAGGCGCAACTCTGCGCCGGAGTTTAGACCGGGTTTGTTTTGGTCTAATGAAAAATCTAATATAGTTTCTCAAAAGACTATTGCGCCGCGCCTTGCACCACATTGCGCTGGGTGTATGATAAGGCCCAGAGTCTGAAATTCTCTTATGAATCTTTTTGTATTTGTTATCCTAAAAATACACTATGAAACAGAAACCTTGCTTACTGATTCTGATGTGTATTAATGAATCCAGTCTGAAAAATAAATAACGCAAAACAATATATATAAATATAAATATATATATATATATATATATATATATATATATATATATATATATATATATATATATATATATATATATATATATATAATTATACAAAGTTGAAGTCAGAATCATTAGCCCCCCTGTTTATTTTCCCCCCAATATACATTTAATGGTGAGAAGATTTTTCAACACATTTCTAAACATTCGTTCATTCATTTTCTTGTCGGAGTTACTCAAGTCTCTTGAAATTATAATCAAATCGCAATATACAAATTGCAGAAAAACTAAATATCACAATGTCAGTTTTCCAATATCATGCAGCCCAGGTCTCTCTCTCTCTCTCTCTCTCACTCACTCACTCACTCACTCACTCACTCACTCACTCACTCACTCACTCACTCACTCACTCACTCACTCACTCACTCACTCACTCACTCACTCATTTCAGTTAAATAAAATTAAAATGCCAAAAAAAAGTATATCACAAGAATCAATTTCTGATTTTCTTTTCCCTAGAAAATCAACCAATCAGATTCCTTCCTGCTTAAAGTAGCTCAAGCTTTAAAACAGCAGATGACTTCAGCATGCTTAGAACAAACAGAGCATTCTCTTTAGCTGGTGTATATTTGTATATACAGCAATATTTGAGTACACGCCTCACATCTATCTATTAAATTCATATTTTAATAGGAAGCCATACAATATTATATTTGTGCATATGCATTATATTAGTCAGTACTGAAGCCAAATCTGGAGCTTATTTAACAAAATAACTTACGATAACGGTCCAAAAACTAGAATACCCAAATTTATGTTATAGAAAATTTTAATTCAAATTTCAAAATGAGGAGAAATCAAAAAGAGCAAAAAAAAAAAAAAAAATTAAACAATTTTGTAGCTTGTAAAATTTTAGCTTGAATTTATTTGTATCCTCTTTCAATTTCTGAATATGTTTGTTGACTAAAATATTATTTTAATAAATATATCTGTTTAATAAATCCGTTTTGTTTAAACGCACCAAAATACAGTGCCTATATTCACTGAGAAATGGATAAAAAATATTCATTTTTAAAATGGGCTGTATAAATTATGCTGAGCACTGTAATATTACAAATATTTTCTTTCCATTTATCTTTATAGCTCTAGTTTTTGCTGTGAACATGCCTTACATGTAAGTCTATAATTCATCTGCAGAAAAAGCAAATACGTTGCAAAGTTTTTTCAAGTTTCTGTAAGACGCGAGGATGACAGTTTGGGGAATCATGTAAAGCAAATCATCAAGATTAGATTTAGACTGTGATGCAGTGATTGTTGTTTGGGCTGGTCTTCATCATTCAGCTCAGCTCAAGAGCAGTTTTAAAGACCTCAGCGAGAGTCTGACGCTGCAGTGAATGTGAAGAGGGTCTTAGGCACGCTGCTATTCTGGGCTATTTGATGAACTCCTGATGAGTCTTAGCAGGAAACCTCTGCACTACGACTGCTCTGGCACACGCTGCATAGTAAAGGGTTCATACTCTTTTGATCAATGAATATCCATATTTTTAGTGGTGTAGTGCATAAGATTTTTTGAGTAAAAAAAAAGTAATGCATTTACAACATAGACTGCACTAAAAATTGGTTGTTTTTTTAGAGTAATAGTTGGAAACAACTTATATGGGCTAAATTTAAAGAAGTAAAGTTCAACTTCATTTTTTTTTTTAATTCAGCCCATATCAATTGTTTGCCACCATAATATGATATAAACATATAATATAATATAATATAATCCAATATAATATAATATAATATAATATAATAAAATATAATATAATCCAATATAATATAATATAATATAATATAATATAATATAATATAATATGATATAATCCAATATAATATAATATAATATAATATAATATAATATAATACAATATAATATAATATAATATAATATAATGCAATATAATATATAAATGAAACATCACCTATAGACCAATAAAAACCTATAAACAGCATAAAATATATATTAAAATTATATTATTGTATGTATTAGTTTGTTTAATTTTTAATTTACATTACATATCCAGGCCAGAATACATATTTCTAGGTTCATGTTTCTATGATGAAGACTTTTTCATCTCTCAGAACCCCTGTATTTATAAATCATACAGATAATTAAATAAAAAAGTAAACAGTTTTTATATTTCATGATGCACTACATCATTTAGCAAAAAATGAAAAACAACCCCTTTTGAAAATTATCCCTTTTTTAAGTCTAGTAAAACTTAAGTCATTTGTTTTTAGCACATTGATTACCATTAGGGATTTAACAATTCACCTGACTGACGGTATGATAAGATTCATGATACTAATCTCACAACACGATTTAGTCAAGTTTTTTTAAACGAAATGATTTGAAACTAATTTAAGGTGAAGAGCCCTTTCATTTTTTTTGTTAAATGCTGCATATTTTTTACTAAATAATATACTTTCTGCCATAACTAAATTGCTATTAAAAAAAAAAAAAAAAAAAAAAAAATATATATATATATATATATATATATATATATATATATATATATAAATAAAACTAAAGAAGATTAATATAAACAAACTAAAACTGTGACTGTGCTGAGATTTTACATTAAAAAAAAAGAAATATCAGCTGTTTACTGGCATAGGCTAAAGTCTTGCTGAAAAAAAAAAAGTCTTTTACTGGGGACAGAGATGGCTGGGGTGGAGAGGAAAGCCTTTCCTAAACCAGAGAGCAGTGTGTACAGAGGTGGTCAATAAACCTTCTTCTGAGCCAGGGGACTGGCCACGGGCATCAAATACTGAATATAAAATGACTAATTATATAGTAGATTAGAGAGACAGGAGTTGAACATGATTATGAAGGTGAATAATTAATATTACGTGTATAATTAATTAGTATAAGTGTCAGTGTGATACACTTAAGAAGAGATGCATAAACTAAATTGAAGGGGGTAAACTAATCTAATACCTGCTTCTGTATCAGAACAGCTTTTCCTTTCAGTCTGAAAAACATTTTCACACTTTCGCTATGAAAACCCTGATGCACCGTGTGGTCTCTGTAGCACTCGTCAGAGAAAGCAGAGCTACAAATCATCTGGTCTGCGTGGTTCGGTATATTAATAGGTTTTTTTGCGTATAGACATCTGTGACAATAGTTTTCATTGTGCTGATGGTTTATGTGCATCTTGGTCGTTCTTCTGTTATAGTGCAAGTAAATGCAGTATTTGCACAGAGTTTGTGTTTTGTATGGCGCATTTCACTGCTGTCATTTCACTCTGCCACCCCACCTCTTGCTGATGTGCGGGTAAAGTGAGAATGTGCCTGTAAACACAGCGCCCACTCTATTCAAAGCATGTATCGTGATTTATTCATTCATACATTTCTGCCAGTTTGAATCATCACATGATTGAATAAATGTTCAACCCGCTCACAATGAATCGCTACATGCCTAATTACCATAGTATCACCAATACAATTTTTACTACAAATACTGTACCATCTATAGGTTAGCATAGAAAAATTATGATGATTTTGTGATTACCTTAGTTTGACTAATATAAACCAGGGTTAATTTTCATAAGAGAACAACCAGCAAATATATTTAAACTCCAAGCCAAAAGACCACCATCTCCGAAACTTGGACAAACCATAGACCAATAATGAATAAATAAAGCAGTTTAACCCATTATCTTCAGCTCGGTTGACCGAGCAGATGTTTAGGTCAGCAGGAGATGGGTCAAACATCAATATTTCATTTCAACCCTCTTTCTAGCATGAATCTTTAAATACTAGGGCAGGGGGAAGGTACAAAAAAAAAGTTAATCCTGGAGAACACGATGAAAGGGTCAAGCAGGAGTGAGTTGCACTGCCCTGTTATCAACTCC